CTTAGTCGCGCTCCCGAACAATGGCCAGACCACGGGCGTTCAGCTCGTGCTCCCATCTACGTGGCACATTAGATTCGACTAAACACGATCCAAAAACGAGATCGTACTCCATGTAGCACTTTGCGTAGTAGTGGCGAATCCGCTCGGAGCGCACGGCCAAGAGTTCGCGGTTCGCCAGCTCCATTTCTCTTGGATCCTAGCATTCAGATTCAGATTCAGATACGAACGACGCGCAATGTACTTTTTGTCGGTGCGCGAGCGCTGGTTGATCATGCCGCGCTTGCCCTGGCGGTCTTCCCAGACCGCGCGACCTTTGAGGTGGTCGGACGCCTTGACGTGCTGCACTGCGTTGTGGAGCTGGTCCTCGCGCGCAATGAACATCTCGACGTTGCGCCCGAGCTTCTTCTTCCCAAACGGCTCGCTCGCCTCGCTTCGCTTGGCCAAGCCCGCGGCCGGTCGCATGGCCATATTTTCAGACTCAACGAAGTCGGTTTTGCCCGCAACGGCCGCGGGGTTGATACGTTGATACTTTCGAAATGATCTCTCGATTCCCAGCTCACATCGTTGACGATGCGAAAGGCTCGGTCTTTGATACGGTCTCTTGGCCACACGTCGCCTATGGTACGACTCGTGGCGTCCGTAGAGGCGTTGGCTCATTTGGTATTATTGCTACAATGTTTACTAGCACGAGTGGAATCGCCAGCTTTTGATATCGAAAAAGTAGGTCCTTTGTCGCCAGCGCACCGAGATAAGACCGGCCATGAGCGCAAACGCAGCATCAATCTCGCACTCGACGTCGTTTGCTTGGACCATCAACGTAAAATAGCTCGCCGAGCTCAAGTACGGCGTCCGAAGCTGTCGCGGCGGCAGCGCCCGCCACCGCTGTACGACCGCCGTACTGACCACCGCGCCCAGCGCAATTAAACCGCCCGTGAACACGCCGCGGAGACGGCCAATGGAAATGTACCCGGTGGTGCAATCCAGCGCGCCGTCCATATCGACCGACGTGCAGGTTCGCTGCAAGATCGCGGTATATCGCGGCGGCCCTTGGCAGCCGACAGCGATCGCCCACGTCAACAAGGAGCTCTTCCACGCATACGCCGGCGTATACTGCTGCGTGACGCTGCTAAGCAAGTCGTTGAGCACGTAGACAAGCCATGTCAGCTCAGACGCGACAAGGACCACCTTGTACCACGGTGTCGCTGGCACAACGAGCTGGGCGCCGTGGCCGGTCGAGGCAAGCGTCAATTGGCTCGTGTTCAAAAGCCACAGCGCCGTCGCGCTTCGAAACAGAAGGAGGAGCCGGCCGACCCAGACATGGCCGACAATACGATTGAGCTCAAAGAGGTGGAGGGCATTGATTGCACCAAATGAGGTGACGGTGTAGCACAGGACGAGCACAATGACGCTAATGAGGAGCAGTGTGACGTATTGGGCGCTCGTTCGGCACACGTAGCTCAGTGTCGTGCGCATCTCGGTCGGGTCGAGCTCGAGCGCAAGCGGCCGAAACGCTGTCGTGATCGTGCGCACGCGGCCCTGGTCGCCTTGGAATGACACGACTTCGCGCGCGCCAAGGACCCAATCAAAGAGATAGCACCACCCAAAGAACGGCCAGGCCGGGTCGTCCGTGCCGTTTAAAAGGCCCCGTTGATACAACTGCGTCGCTGCGATGGTGCTGGGCGTTATGTATTGGACGAGCGCTACGTCAAGGGCATTGACGGCGCTGGCAACGGCAGACGCGGACAGTGCCTCGAACGATGCGGCGTGCTCGCCCCGGAAGCGCTGTATCGTGTCGTAGATGAAGCGGCAGTCGACTTCGGAAAACACATCCGACGTGCACAGACGGTCACTGTGGATGGCCACATCGACGCCCACGAAGGCGAAGAGGACCGCCGTCGTGGATACTTCAATGGTTTCTGTGACCCACCAATCGCAGTCCGAGCGGAACGAGACAAAGGTATTGGGGCCGTAATGAATGTCGATGGGGGCGAGGTCGCTGCCGCAAATGAGGTTGCCGCCGACGTTCAAGAGCGGCGGCGTCTCGGTCAAGAGCTCCATGGGTAGCGCACAGATCGACGACTTGGCCGGCAGTTGAACAAACGCGTCCTGTGCCGTCATGTTGGAGAGCGTCAGGTTCGCCAGCGCCTGCATGAACGCGCCGTAAAACCGCCGGAGCGCGCTCGGCACTGAAATGTACTCGGTGTCGATGGCACCAAAGGGTCCTACCGTGCTTTGCAGCACGAAAAGGCCAGCTTGCAGCGGCTCCAAAAGCGTTCGATTGGTGACCAAGAGCTGCGTTGGGGTCGTGTTGGCAAAGGCAAAGTTGGAGGCCTCGCGTAAGAGGGACATCCCCCCGATGCCACTGGCGTTACTCGCCACCGCCCAGAGATCACTGGCGAAGGCCCAGTAGAGACGCATTGACGTCTGTCTGTCTGTGTGGACCTGGGGGGGTAGGTGCGCGATCGTGAGCGCGAAGCGTTGCCCCCACGCGGTCGAAATCTCGATCGCATCATGGAACCCCGTCGTCTTGAAGTTTTGCCACTGCAGCCGGAACGTCGAGAGTCCATGTGTGCGCCAGAGAGCCACCTCGGCGTCGATCGGGAGCGCAGTCGTGATCGTCGCACGCCACCAATCCCGCCCGCCTGCTGTCTGCTCGAGGACACTTGTGAACGCCATCTGCAACGACGTGCCCCAGCAGGTGCGCATGGCGTCCCAGTCGCGGACATTTCGAAGCGGCGCAGCGAGGTACACGGCCCCGTTGTCGCGCATCATTGCGTCGCACCGGACTTGGCGCGCGGCGGTGCTGGCCATGGTCCAGCTCCGGTTCAAGTCGAGGTAGCAGTACTGGGTGAACATCCACGGCAGCTGGCATGGGTCCATGGACCGGAGACCGCGCACTGCCGATGGAAGCGACAGTGTGTCTTCATTGAAGAGCTCTCGACGGGCGAGGTTGGCGTGCCACTCGATGGTGCCGCGCGTGTCGCGGTAGAGAGGCATGCCCAGTGCCGGTGTGTCGAGCTCCAAGAATGGCAGTATCTCTGTCGACGTCAGCGACAACTGCGTAAAGGTTGTAGCAAGAAATGCGTGCATACCGGACGTGTTGAAGCCGGACCAGCCAAAGTCGTTGGCGAGCGAATCCGACATGACAGAGAGGTACGCAATATTGCTGGTGAGCGTCGCGACGAGATACCCGAGCCCTAGCAGCGCGGTACTGTGCTGAAACCACGCGCGTTTGTGTCGAAATGGGCCGAGGCGCAATTGCATTTTGGAAGCACTCGTCGTGTTAAAGCTCAGATACTGTCGGTGCCGACGGACGCCATACTCTTGAGTACGCACGACCCGCCAGAGTTTGGTGTCGAGGAGATAGTGAACACCGCCATAGTCGAAGGCCACGAGGCCGCACATGACCGCCGAGATCGTGTCGAGCTCCAAGACCTCGCCGACGTGGTAGCTGGTTAGCGTCGGGGGCAACAGCACGTGCAATAATGGCATGGACAGGCGACGCTGGCACGGCAGTAGGATTGCAAGGAGCCACGCTCCGAAGAGAAGACTGGTGAGGAGAACGAGGCGCTCCCAGCTGCCAATCACGACCCGTCCGCTATCACACGTGACCGTCTCGAGGTTTTCAATCGAGCACTCGCGACGGAGATGGATGCGCCATGTGACCGGCGCAAACTGATCGATGCAAACAAGGACGGCCCAGGTTGCGATGAGAATGACAAGTGTCGACACACGATGCGTCCTTTGGACAAGAGGTGCGACGACTTCGTGGAGGACGTAAATCAGCCAGAGACCTTCGCCGGCCAAGGCGCTTGAGAGCCAAAGCGATCGTGTGGATTTTCGCACTTGGAGGAGGACCGCAGAAGGCGCTGACAGCGCTGTGGTGGCTGTTGAGAGACACACAAGGGCGAGTCCGCTGCGGGCGAGCAGAAAGTACCGACCAATATAGACGGCAGACACCACCGGGTTGAACATGATCCATGACGTCGACCGGAGGGTGCACCCGAGGCAGAGCGTGACGGCACCGACGACGCAAAGTGTCGCTGTCGTCATGGCCGCCGAGTACCACAGGTACGGTCCCAGCGTTGCTGGTGCGGGGGGAACGTCCGAGACGACCGGGGGGTAGGCGACCGAGATCACATTGACCGTTTGGACATCGCCTTGGAGGGAGAGCACTTCCCGTTGCCCTAACGCCCAGTCGTAGAGCATGGTCCAGCCGAAAAAAGCAAAGGTCGGGTCCAGCAGCCATTGCATCTGGATCTGGGGATCACTCTGCGTCTGGTTGCGCAAGTACTGGAAAAGGCCAATACTGTGGTCCACCAAATGGGCAACATGTGGCGCTTGCAAGGACATCGCTCGGGCCAAGACATCCGTCGCGTGGAAGGCTCGTTCACACGCCGCCGCGTCCACCGCGGCGGCACAGACCTCGTCGCTTGTCGCCTCCCCGAGCTGCAGCAGCGCAAACACACCAGCGTCAATGCGCCAGAAAGACGTCAGCGGCGCTTGGCGCTGACACACATCCTCAAAGCCAAAGGTCTGCTGCACAAATGACAATGGCGAGCCAAAGATACACCACGGATTGCCACTGTAGAAGCTCAGTCCCGGATCGGCCCACTGCAGAGGCCGCAATTGCAGCGACACGGGGGGCACGACATGGGCTTGTAGCGCCGGCGAGGTTACGAGCGCCGACATCATATCGGCGCGGAAACGATCGATGGCCTTGACAAGCGCCGGCGGGGGCAGAACCCACTTGGCATCGAGGGCGGCAAGCCAGCCGACTTGGTCGTGAAGCGTTTGACCGAGCGGGGGTAGTGGACAGCCTTCGATGAAGCACGCCATCACATCGGGTGTCGTATCCGCAAAGTAGTTCAAGGTGCCTCGGACCATGGTCTGGTTCTCGCTCGGCGCGTACAAGTCGTTGCTGAAGAGGTCGTAGAAGAGACACGTTTTTCGGTGCATGTGACGACTGGTCGTTGGGATGCTCTTGAGCGACATGGGAACCGCGATGCCAAGGGCGTTCTCGACAAGAACACTTTCAAACAGGCCAAAACCGGTGCCCGTGCCATATTGAAGCGTAAAGTGGCGAAATCTGTGCGAGCGCCACAGCTGCACTTCGTCGTTAATGGAAAGGATCGTGTGGGCGGTCAACGTACGCAGCCAGTCGGCGCCTCTTTGTCCGGTCGCTGCGATCGGATCACCGATGCGACTGTCAAAGAGGCCACCCATAAACTGCCGCCACGCGTCAAAATCGATGTTGCGCAGGACCGACTCCAGATACATGGCGGCATTTGCCGTCTCGGACGCCGCACAGCGCGCTTGGCGCTTGGTCGAGTAGGCAAACTCCCAGTGTTTCTCCAAGTCAACCCAGCAGTACGGTGCGACGAGCATCGATACTTGATCGGTGGAGAGTCTTCGAAGGCTCTGGATCGCGATCGGCAAAGTTGTGAGATCGTTGTAGAGGACCCGGCGGACGTACACAGCGTCGACGCCCGACAAAAGCCCCCCGAGGAGGGCGAAGGATGGTGCGAATATGTCGAAGTTGTGCTCTGTCGCGTAGGGCAGCGTCGAGAGATGGGTGTTGAGAAGCTGCCGCAACACAGGCGATGTCGTGACGAGGTCGGGCCACAAGTAGTCGGTCGCCGTGTACGGAGAAAATGCGCCCATGACAAAGACGCTCAGCGCCACGGAGGCCGCGACGTACACCATGCCAACGACGTGGAGACGCCATGAGACTGGCGATGGCCCCACGAGTATGTCGAGCGTGCGCGGGGCCACAAACACCTGCATCCTCTACGTTGATGCTGAGGTGTCGGGTGAATGGTCGGTCGACGAAACGCCGATGTGAAACTGGTCTACCAAGGCTGGAAAGAAGATAGTCCTTGTTGGTTTGAAAACAGTTACGACAACGATCGACTCGTTTTGGCGTCGTCGAGTCGTAACGTTACTCGGTGAATAGCTCGGATTGGTGTGGACGCCTTGATAGAGCGATGGCCCATCAGTCTCGTTCCCGATGGTAGACCGGTCCACCAGGGCCAACGCGGGCGTTCTTTATCGGTCCATGCTTTCCGGTAGAAAGGAGGTGTTTGAATGTGCGTTGAACAGAAATATATGTGCAATCGACGTGCCAGATTGCGCACACCGCGTAGGCACCCCGAGACGAGGTCCAGGCCATAAAAGCGATTGATGCTCGCGAGTCGGTAGGCGTCAACCGTTGCAGTCACGAGTCATCACTTTGGCGGATGGCGCTGGAGCCACGGCTTGAAAGTCAGTTGCAAAAAACGTACGATGGGCAGCGGGGTGCTTTGTCTTTTTGTGCTCGACAGCAAGGGCCTAGCGTTTTATTTTGAAGAATCGAAGCCACCGCTCACCGACGTTCGAATGCTCCTGGAAGCACGGGGGCTCATGACGACGAAGCATCGTTTTGCTTTTTTGCAGTGAGAAGGGCAACATACAAGCAAACGTCTATACGGTGGATCGCGCAAACAAAGACATCATGCCACTCGACTGTTTAAAGGGAGGAAAGGGGTCGTTGTCGCCGAAGGAGTCGATTACCTTGCAACCCTTGGCAAGTCCACCAATACGTACAGGTCATTCACGCCGGCTGGACCCACGGCTTGCATAGGATACCAATCCGGATTGTTATATTGTGATTCCAAGCTGGTTTGTTATTAACTGTGGGCTTGCATTCTATTTTGTCAACACGCCGCCATCTTTTGCTCCACACAAAAGTCGCCGTTCAAGCGAGCCGAGAGTGCGTCCTTGGCGAAGTCAAGCTCTTGGGCCACTGCGATCGGTGCGTTTGCAGTCTGCTGCTCAAGACGCTGCAGTGCATGGTACAATCGGTCCAGAGCTGGGTTGCGCTCGGTATCCCTCGCCACAGAACGGACGCGGGCGGGCTGAAAATCGACTTGTCGAATGTCGTCGGGCAGCGTCGTTGAGCCCGCGTCGTGGGCATCCTCTCCCCCGACACGAAAGTTGTCGTCCGTGCGAGTACTGAGCGCATCCTGGCCGATGTCGGACTCTTGGACCTCTGCAGCCAGTGTTTCGCGTAGCGATTCAAACTCAGCCTTGAGCTGGTCAAAGCTGGGGCGCCCGTTTGGATCGTCAAGCACGCAGCGCTGGTAAATGCTCGCAATGCTTGCCGGAACGTTCTCCGAAAGCGTTGGCCGCAGCTTGTTGTGCACAATCTTGCGTGTGAGTTGATCCACGCTCGCGTAGTTTATGTGGTGCTCGTGGTACGGTCTCTTGCGCGTGTCGATTTCGGCGAGCACTAGATGACGCACCAAATAAGATGCCATAGTACTACAACATAGTATATGTATATTGTACCAATGCCGAAGCTGTACACGTCGACCGTCGATGTGCACGTGTCGCCGCGAAGGATCTCGGGCGCATCCCAAAACGGCATTTGCAGATCATAGTGACGGCGTAGCGTCGAGAGACGCGCAAGACCGCAATCGGCAAGCTTGGCGACTTGACCATTGGCGCTAATTTATTGTTGGTCATTGTCAGTAAAACGGAGGTAGTACCTGATGAGGACATTGGCGGCCTTGAGGTTACCGTGAATATACTCTGGCACTTGTGCGTGCAAATAGGTCATGCCGCGGCAAATGTCGATGAGAAACTCGAGTAGCTGGTCCGTCCAGCTCAGCGCCGTGGATGGGTCCTTTTGGATGGACCCGAGGTCGCCGCGCTCCATGTATTCTGTCACGAGGTAGCTACGTAGAGCTCGTTGTGAGATACAACGGCAAGGTGCTAGAATGGACTTCTACCAGGTATCGTCGGCGTCGGTGCTGAAGCCAACGAAGAGGACGATGTTGCGGTGCCGGAGCGTTGAGAGGAGCCGAATCTCGTCCGCCCAATGCATGGTGTCCCATTCGTACCCGTAATGGAATAGCTTCTTGATGACGACGGGCATTCCATGAAGCTCGCCTTTAAAGACCTTCCGAACCCAGTATGGGCTTTTGTCCAAGCGCTTCCAAGCGTCCAAGCGCTCGCCAAAGGTCAGGTCGTCGTAGGCGATCGCAGCCCGCTGGATCCTAGAATCGCCCACCATGGTCATGTACAAAGCAGCGCCGTGCCGCGTACCAGTATGGCAATCTAGGTGGCGCTGGCAAGCTCATGAGCCGGGGCGAGCGCGGCAAGCAGCATCTAATCAAGTTGCCCATCGTCCGTAACTGCTTGCGGCAGTTGACAGACAGTATCAAAATACAGGAAGTGTCGTCATCCCTAATGATGGGCTTGTCTGGATGGCTCGCAAAGTGTACCTTTGATACGAGATATCCTCCACCAAAGGATATTCAAGTATAGTATTTTTGGAAGAAGTATCATTTTGATTGTACAATATTTACGGTACCCTAGCGATAGAAATTGATAACTTTTAAGAATCAATACCATTGTTTTACACAGTGATCTGATTCGCATTCGTTCCATGGCCACTTGGCGGATAATCCGCCCTTAGATCTGGAGGGTTAAATGGGACGGCGCTGCTGCCTTTACTTATGCATCCCATCGTCATACCAAAGACCGAAGAAAGTGGCAGCTGGAAAGACAACAACGACTGCGCCCACGAGCCCTGCCAACTACGTAATATAGTAATATAAAAACTTTTTGCTTTAAGCAATAGGAGACGAAGTACGTCTAAATTTTTTTGGGTGACGCCCGCAGGGCCATAGCGCGCTCCGGCGTGCTGTGTGCCCTGTGTCTTACGTCCTCTGCTGTGTAAGTGCCGGTCGCTGGCAGCGGTCGGTGGTCGCCGCTCTTCGCGCGCTCGGCACCCAATGCCCCTCGACGATTCAAAGCCCGTCGAGTCCCCGGCGGCCGTCAAGGAGATGAGACGTCGCTGGCCCTCCCGTGCTTTCTCCCCGCGGGCGCGGTCGCCCTGCCTCCACGAAGTCCCGTAGCCTCC